TGTGTGTGTGTGTGTGTGTGTGTGTGTGTGTGTGTGTGGATGAGTGTGCATGTGTGTGTGTGCATGCGTGTGTGTGCATGTGTGTGTGCATGTGTGTGTGTGTTTATGTGTAGCAATATATCCAACCGTCAAATAGGAATACAGAATAAATCAGGAATGAGCACTGTCAGATCTTCCTCGTATAGCCTACTGCCCTCTGTGCACCTACATACATATACTTTGCATCCGTAACAGTTCATATAGAACCTACCATCTGCTTTAGGAGCAGGTGATGAGTGGAATGTGCGTCTCAACCCTCCGCTGACGGCAGGGAGAGCGGGACGCAGGAAAGATGAGGATCTCGCCGCAGCGGGAATTACACGAAACATAGTTTACAAAGGTGTGTGTCTACTAAAACTCGAGTTTGGTACTACTCTCCTAACTATCTAAGACTCAGAAGGTTGCATGGGAATATATAAGTATGTACTCACAGCTTATAACAACTTGTTCTCCAACTCGAGTGCCCACTGTCCAGTGCGGTCGAATTCACAAATTGTTTTCGTCCAAATAAAAATCCGTTTTGGTCAAAAGAATTGATTAACATGCTGAAATTGGCCATTTTTGGTTCTACCTAAATTTCCTCACAGCGAGCCATAGTATTGCCAATACATTCTCAAGGATCCCAGTATTTTTACAGCGATACCGGTCCATAAAACTCCCGTCCTCTTGAATAATTTATTTATATATTTTTGAAAATCTGATTTCAGGAAACGAGTGGAGCACCACCTCTTTAATTGTCCTCTACTTCAAGTAATAGGAGTCAAGCTTGTAAACGGGAGGAGGTCGTACTGACGTGATGAGGATTTACTAAATTTGGGTCTAGAAAAGCCAATTTGTTAGACAGTACCTACGAATCGGTCGCATACACCTAATTCTCGTTGAATGCCAAAAACCAGGCTCAAATTGAACAACAACACTTCTATTTACAACGGAACTTCTGAAGATCTTACTGGTGGGATTTGGCAGAATGAAGAATACTAAACAGGAGTGGGCAAAATTAGTCCTTCCTGGTAAATTCCAGGTGCAGCAGAAGGTTTCGATTTTCGCCTGTTTAACCCACAATCCACATACATGATGTTATTTGCCGGATTTTATAGAATCGTATAAGGCAAGGCTATTCAGTACATGCACACCAGATAATCGTGATATTATCAACCACAGTGCAGGTGAGAATGTTTTCCGGTATTGTGGTGCTATGTCATGTGTTAAGATGCGCAACTCGACGGATTTGAATTATACATCTTACGTATCGAGCTATGAAATGTCTATAGAGTATGATAGTTCAAAGACTGATCAACAACGTGTACCTGCACTGCAATTGGAGCTTTCAGCCAGTGCAGCTGTATAGGCTTATTTGCAATAGTAGTATAAGAGTACAAACATATACTGACCAAACCTTGTCCATGGAGGCGGGTGTAGTATATCAATTTAATATATATATATA